AAAACAGAGTCCGGCCGTGCACGACGGCACGTAACACAAATCCACGACCGAATTCGCTGCTGCACATGTGGATGGAAAAAGTAGATGCACGCTGTGGAAAAGAACGAAGGAAGACTGGCAACGCAATAGAACAGCAGGAAACAAGAAACAACAGGCTATCACACGCGCATTAGACAAGAAACAACAGGCCATCACACGCGTATTACAACTCTTCGCAGAACCAGATTGCTGAAGGAGGAAAAAGTGGGCTCAGGGAATCAGGGGAGGTGGGAGGGGGACGGGAACAGATATCAACAGACAACAATCCAGCTAGAGAGCAGGAGAGAGAGGTACGAGGGTACCAGAACATAACACTCGAATCATTCCCTCTAGTCTACTTACACGCTCACAGGCACACGCACAAAAACAGAGAGCAAGAGAGACAAAGTGAGAGAGAGACAGACAGACAGACAGACAGACAGAGAGGCGAAAGAGGCACACAAGGAGAGGCGTGAGACAGACACAGAGAGAGAGAGAGAGAGAGAGAGAGAGAGAGAGAGAGAGAGAGAGGGAAGCATGTCCCAGCACGTATCAAACAGCACGAACAAACTAGGAGAAGCAGGATGTCCCAGCCCGTATCAAGCAGGTCCTGAAGAACAGATGACAGAGAGAGAGATAGAGAGAGGGAGAGGGAGGGAGAGAGAGAGAGGGAGGGAGGGAGGGAGGGAGGGAGGGAGGCAAAAGAGGCGCATACAATGAGAGCCGTGAGAGAGAGAAAGAGCCCTTCCTCTAGTCTACTTCACACCCGCATACAAGCACACACAAAAACATAGAGCGAGAGAGACACAGGGAGAGGGAGAGAGGGAGAGAGAGGGAGGTAAAAGAGCCGCATACAATGAGACGGGTGAGACAGAGAGAGGTCGAAATAGCCAAGAGTACGCAGGACAGCTCGTTTATTGTAAAACCCATTGTGAGCAAAATAAATCATAATAGCAGCAACCTAGTATATGGGAAGATTTCCCAAAATAGAGTTTGTCAAACTCCAAATGAATACGGATTTGTCGAAATCCAATAATAACGATGGCCGCTACTGTTATTGAGCCGCAGCGGCGAGTTTGTTAAATTTGGCACGGTCGTCTAGTGGGGGGGGGAAGGGGGGTTGGAGGGGGGGAATCCATAATCAACTTCAATTTATTTGGTTGTTTCTTAAAGGAAGGTTATAAATACTGGAAGTCTCTGAATCACTTCAGCCGTATTTCGCATATTCAATGTCAACGACCGCCGGGCCGACCCCGACACCACCAACGGAGCTATTTAGTTAATAATTGTTAAAAAAAAAAGGCGATACATACAGCCATGATACTGATTGAAACTGACCTACTGTCGTGTGTGTCCTTTCTAACCTCCGAGTAAATAGCTCGAACAGAGTGAAGCGTTCCTAGCTGCTCCCTCCCTCTCACTTGGATCCGCCCCCCTCGATCTATAAGTAAATAAAACCTGCTTAACCTAAGCAGATATAAGCTCAGGTATCTCATCCTGTGCCAAAGCGAGTTTAGACTATAAGAAAGCGAGACGTGAGATTAGGACTAGGAGTAGTAATCTCTGCCAACCAAGTGAACGCAGGACAGAGAAGTGGAGACGTGAGATTAGAATCTAGGGGTAATCCAAAAAAAAAAAAAAAAAAAAGGGGTAATCTGTGCCAACGTAGTGAACTCAGCAAGTTTTATCAAACTGATGAAAATGGGATTCCAAAATTCAATCGCGGTCGCAAGGCTGGTTGGTTAAAGTAACTGTTGGAAAATAATAAACTATGAAACGATAAGAAGCAAATGAGGCAAAAAAAAAAGAAAAAAAAAAGAAGAAGCAAATGAGGCGTGACAAGAAGCGATCGAACCGACAACGTTCGGTGAGCGACCACAAGAGGCGGGACAAGAAGCGAAGGAGGCGGGACCAAGGACCAATATCACTTAGTCTAACTTCAACGCAAATGGTCTTGTGAAAAGAATTGAGATCTCGCCATGAGGAAATGGAAGTTAGGTGAAACAACAGTTACTTTCGGTGAGCGAGCATGGCGACAAATATCGGTGGTTAGGTGCAGAGCATCTATAAGAGACAACAGTTACTTTCGGTGAGCGAGCATGGCGACAAATATCGGTGAGCACGCAAGCATGGCTCCAGAGGAGGTCGTACCATTAGCAAAGGAGTGAGAATAGCAGTTATGGAACGAACCAGGTAGAGACTATACAACTCAGGTTAGAGAATAGCAGTTAACGGAACCAGCTAGAGAAAGCAAATCTTTCTGTCCTGGCTAAAGGGAGCGAGCGGGTCGTGTATATAGTATGTAGCAGTTCTGCCCCACCAATTCAGTAGAGTATCGTCACGGTCTATATAATAGCAAAGAAGCGAGTTTTTCCTCCTAATCACTGAGGGCCGCATATAACTGTCCACAAAGCGAAAACACTTACGATATCGAAGACGCGGGTTCAAATCCCTCAAGGGGATAACCTACACTTCGGAGGGAAAAGGAATGATGCAGAAGACTCAACGAGGAGGGAGCAGCCGAAGCAGCGAAAGCGAGAGCGGGCCACACGACATCCTAGTGACTGAGCATCCCACACAAACCACGAACATCATAATTCAGGCCAGTGCCTCCGCGATCAGAGTCTACTAGACTAAGTAGCGCTCGTGCACACAAAACACACACCGAATACGTAGAGACTATGCGCCGCAATACGTCCGTCACGATTGCCCAGGCCACCTTCTCCATCCTTCCTCGCTCTCCCTTCTCCTCTTCGTTCATCGGCTTCCGATGCTCTGCGTTTCGCGCGTTTGCTGTCCGCTCATCCTTGAACCTGAAGACTTCATCGTCAGTATCCACCACCACCAGATCTCCGCCTTTACTTGCTTCGCTATGCTATCCCTTCTTCTGAAGATGGCTTATGGTCCCTTCAGTTCCTCCGTCACTCCCGAGGATGGCTTATGAGTCTTTTTACCCCTAATATCATCCCCTTCTTAGGCGAGATATGTCGTACCTACACAGGTCGGACGGCCTTTCCCTGAAGCTGGGGCAGTTTTTATGATGACTCGCTCGATTCTGAAGAGTCTCAGAGAGAAAGAAGTCTCAGAGACTACAAGCGAAACAACGTTTCACCGCTCACAAGCCGCCTTGGCCGACCCCATGCTGCGTGGCTCGCTGCAATGATGCTGCTGCGTGGCTCGCTGCAATGATGATACTCTTTTCTATTTTTTCACGTGATCACCAGCGTGGCTCGGTACAATGATACTTTTTTCTACTTTCAAAAACCAATCACACCAAGTAATTCCCTCCTCCCCGCCTCTTCCCTTCAGTCCCTCTCCATCACTGCCGAGGATTCTTTGTTTATCGTTAACCCATTCTTAAGCGAAGTCAGTCGTTCCTGCCCACGTGGAACGGCGTTTCCGTGAAGTCGGGCATCGCGAGGTTTATCTCGATCCAGCGCGCCGAGCAAATGACAGCCATTCTCGGCGTGAAGTTAACCGCGGTTAACTCGGGTCCGAGCTTCAGTCACTTCACGAATCGGACCAGAAAATGTCTCCTTTTACCGCCGCCGCCGCTTACGTAGTTCAGCAGTCAAGCTGCCGCCACCAACCTTCTTCCCCCGAATACAACGTACGGTCAATTTGACTGCGAGCGTGCCATTGTACGCTGTAGAATTGCCATCACACTGACTGCGGTGTAGGAAATCTCTCTCTCTCTCTCTCTCTCTCTCTCTCTCTCTCTCTCTCTCTCTCTCTCTCTCTCTCTCTCTCACACACACACACACACACACACACACACACGATAAAACGAAGAATTTCCATCACAGTCACTGAGACGTGCGTGGAGCTCCTTTTTCTCCCTTCAAGCGTGGCACCCTCTCTCCCTCATCCCCTCGTTGCTATTCTTAACCGGACACTCCCAGCACGCCGCCGCACTACCGAGAAGTCTTAACCCTGGTTATCTACAGTCAGGGCGTTGGTCAACAAGTCAATGGTACCCTTCGATCAAAGACTCCGATCCACATCCAAAACTGCTCCTTCAGCCTGCCATCCCTGACCAAAATCTATAAATAGTTCCATTTCGTCCTTATCCATTCAAAAACATTTACCCCGATTTCGGGCATATCTCGAACTCTTACCCATTTCCCGCAAACCGGCAAACCCCTCTCTTAACCATATACCATCATCATTGGTCAGACTGGGATCCATCACAGACCCGCTGCTGGGCACTGTGTGCTTTCCAGACGAAGCTAAGTATGGCTTAACGTCCTTTCCTTTCCCGACAAGGCTGCCGTAGTAATAAAAATAGTTCCTCCGATTTCTCCGTCTCACGGCCCCTGATGACATACATGCCCCTCCACTTATCTACGACAACAACAACAACAACAAGTGAGCTCATCGCGTCACGTCCCCTCCCCGTCCCTCCATCAATAAATTCCACCCCCCCACCGATTATTAGCAAGTATACTACGTAAATAAATGTATGTGTCCCTCCTATCATGCCTTTGTATATGTAGGCGCAGAGGAGCCACTCTCTCTCTCTCTCTCTCTCTCTCTCTCTCTCTCTCTCTCTCTCTCTCTCTCTCTCTCTCTCTTTTTGCCATATCTCCTTCTAGACAGCTCACCCTCATTACACGGGGGAAAGTCACGATATTGCCTGCGACCTTACTATCAGAAAAAACTCCCATCCTCGACAGCAATACGTCCTACCTACCAGTTGTCTCAACACCAAGCCGGTCTTTTCAACACGGGCTACCTACCTAATCCCTAACCAACACATCAGAAGGGGGTAGAACCACCAGGTATCTAGATAGAACGGCTCCCATCAATGTATGTTTGTGTCCATTCCTCACACCCCCCCCCGCCCTCTGTCTCTCCTATTTGCCTCAGGCCCGGGGAGACGCACGACGACGAAAGCCGGATCAAAAAACGAGAATCGAACGGCGCCGCCTCCTCATCTACTGTCTGTACTCGAGCGTATTAAACGAAGAAGAAATAAAAACAACACGGGCTACCTACCTAATCCCTAACCAACGCATCAGAATGTACACACATCCTCCTCTTCCCATCCCAACCTCCTCCCCCTTCCCATCGCAACCCCCTCCCCCTCCCCCTCCCCCGTCGTCCACTTCACCCTCCCCTTGTTAGTTCCCCCCCCTCAACTATGTGCACCACCGGCGGGAATTGGCCCGCAGCTAAACGTCAGCCGTCTTTGGGGGGTGCTCCTAGATCGGCCTGAGCCCCTTCTGAACCACTGTTTGAACGACCCGCTCTTCCCCACTTCTGCGGAAGACGCAGAGGGGTCAACGCCGGATCGCGCGGTCGCGTCCCTCTTCTTGATAGCTCCTTCCACGTCAGCAATCTTCGATTCTTTGGCCTTCAGATCCAACTCTAACTTGGCAATCTTTTCGTCAGCAATCTCCTTCTGGCGCTGCAGATTGGCGATCGTCGACTGCATCTTCTCGAAATCTGCTCTGCAGCGTTCGTAATGGCAGCTCAAGAGCAGATGCGTGTCCAGCTCCTTTATAACACCCTTGAATGTGCATCCGAAGTCAGAATTCCGGCAGGAGACCTCACGGAAAGGGCACTGGTCCGTGGCGTGCTTGTCCCTGTCCACCCACCGTATCCGGTCGTCGCACAGCTCGCATTGCTCAAAGCGGTATTCGCACGACATCTCGTGCGTGTCAACGTCCCGGCGCAAGATGATATCATTACACCCGTCAGCCCTGTTTCGGCACCGAACCAGATGGTAGGCGCACTCCCTCACGTGATCGTTCAGCCGCAGGTAAGGCACTACCTCCGGGCAGGCATCCCTCTTCAGCGTTTTCTGCCAGTCTTCCAATCCCTCCCCCTCCCAAGATGAGATCTTCTCGAACATCTCTTCCAGCACGTTGAACGAGAGCCCGTTGGGGCACCGCATGGGAATCTCGTCCACGGCCACCCTCGTCTTGATGTCGACGGCAACGTCCTTAAATAGCTTCTCGTCGCACTGACAGCCATCCTCCTCGACGTAAGGACACACGAGGTCTTCCACGCCGACCATGCTCGAGTAGCGGGCGAAACACTCCCTGCAGAACGAGTGTCCACACGGCGCGACGATGATCGCCATCTTGAACGTGAACGAACAAAGACTGCAGCGCAGGTCCGCCGGAATGTCTGTGTCGGCGAGCTCCAGGTCACCGGGGAACCTCGTTATCCTCTCTCCCTTCACAACTCCACCGTGCAACACGACAGGAGCCGACCCGACAAACGGCGCTGGGGGCGCAGCATTGTGGTATCGGTAAAAAACCTCCTCTCCACGTGGGGGATGAGCGAGGACTCGCGCGCCCCCCCCCCCGCTCACGTTCTTCTTCTGCTTCCCGCTGTCATCACAACCTTCCTCCTCGTCGTTGGCCGTCCTCGCCGGCACGCAGGAACCAAACGCTCGCACAGCGGACAAAGCCGGCGTCTCCACCACCACCTTGACCACTTCCGCATCGAGCGGGACAGACGAGGAAGACAGATCGCCGCCGCTGCCATCATCCTCCTTAACAGACGAGGAAGACAGATCGCCGCCGCTGCCATCATCCTCCGTAACCGGAGCGAGAACCGCGCAATCCTCAGAATCGTCATTTTGCCCCGATCGCTCACTGTCCGTCGCTTTGACAAACTGGAAAGGCTCAGCCTGATAGGCATCTGCCGCTGCCGACGAGGAACACTCAGCAGATAGCTTGGAGAATGCGGAGATAGGGAGCGCAGACACCGTGACGTCCTTCTCCTGCGATGGGCAAGAAGCAGCCACCCCCGTTTCCTTCGCGTCTTCACCGGCAGCAGCCCCGGACAGGGAAGCCGCCTCCGTTGCTCCGGAAACCTGCGCCTCTGCTGCCGCGCCGGCTGCGCCAGGGGACACCAGCGTTTGCGCTACCGCCGCCAGCGGTGCAGACGAAGCATCACCGTCCGTCGAGGGGGAGGAAGAAGATACCGAAACGGGCAAATCGGCTGCTGCCAGCGAGGCCGCTTTGGGAGCAGATTCCGTTGCCACCTCCGCCTCTGCCTCACCCGGACCAGCTGCAACGTCGACGTTACTCTCAGTCCCCGGATCCGACGCCGCCGATGCGGGAACTGAAGCAGACGAAGAGGATAGAGGCGCTTTCGTCCCCGATGCTGACGGTGCAGATGCAGACGCAGGCACCTCTTCGGCAGTCGCCGATGTTTCCTTGGGAGCAGATGCCGTCGCTATGCCGGCGTCACTCGCTGTCACTTCTGCCTTCGCGTCGCCACCAGCTGCAACGACGTTGCTATCGCTCGTGGGATGATCGGACGACGCCAGCTTCACAGAGCACTCAGTGGAAGGCAGTTGTTCCTCATCCACCGAAACCTCAGACGTGTAGGGGTCGGATGGGGTTGGTGCCCCGTCGTCAGACTCGTTCCCAGCAGCGGGATCGGGATTTGGTGCTTCCACCGCAGCCGTTTCCTTCAGGCCCTCTACTGGCGTTGAGCTTTCCCCCTGTTTGCCCTTCTCCCCACCGTCGCTTTGTCCATCAATGGTAACCTCTTCCGCCTGTGTTGCCTCCAGCTGCTCGCCCCCCTTCTTGTCCTCGTTCTCGAATTTATTCGGGTCCCCATCAGTGTTGGGGTCCCCCACAGTATACGGGTCTTTATCACTATACGGATCTTCTCTCTCCTTACTAGACACTCCAACGGCTGACCGACTGCCTTCTTCCGCCTGTTGCTGTGGCTGCTTCTCCTTCGCTTCCATCTCTCGCGAAGCAAATGCGGTAGCTGTAACACATTCTTCCTTCTCCACTTGCGACAGGTGTCCCTCTTCCTTGATGCCAACCTCCTCCGACGAGACAGCTGTCATTCTGCCGTACAGTTAGAGCGAAGAGGACTTCTATAAAAAGACTCCAAATACCCTCAGAAAGCAAATCGCAAAGCACCTCCTCTCTCTCTCTCTCTCTCTCTCCGTGAGCACTTGTGCTAGTTGCTGTTCATGAGGCAACCATAGGGAGTTTCTCTGCCCAGATTAAAGTAAAGATCGAGAGCAGACAACGGCCATAACTTCCATCCGTCTCAAATGTCCTTAGGAGCCACACACTCCCAAAGGCATACAAGGGACACTAACAGACCAAGTACCAGAAATATATATACACGTAATAATTTAATATAAATACTTTTTCCCTTTCCAAACCTGGCTGCAGCTCCCGCGTTCACACCTCGCAAAACAAACCTAATCGTGATTCTTGAACCGATTCTCAATCTTTCCTCTCCTTTAACTTCCACATGGGCGCGATCTGGCAGCAACCAAAGACAGAGAGAAGACCCAAAAAAACAAAAGGCATCAACATGTTAATTCCAGCAAAAATTCAGGATTCGAATTGAAAAATAAAATAAAAAATCTCAAATTGTATTGCCTCCCTGGTAGACAAAAAAATGTTTCCTCTATGAAAAAAAAAGGCAAAACCGTTGTCAAGATTTTCGTTTTCAAAAAAAAAAATAAAAAAAATAAAAAAAAAAAGATTTTCGCTTTCAGCTGACGACCGGCGTACTCCAAACACGCAAGCGAGTGAAAAACAGAAAAAAAAAGGGGAAAAAAAAAAAAAAAAAAAACAGATATAAAACGCATGTAACCCTCCTCCTCTCTTTCCCCCGTCACCCCCCCTAAGAAAAAAAAAAATAAAAAAAACAAAATTAAAAAAAAAAAAAAAAAAAAAAAAAAATCGAACAGCATGTAACCCTCCAGTCCTATGTGCAGGTGCTCTGATCACCATGACCACCTACCAGATTACGCCAAAACAAAATAAATTAAAAAAAAAAAACAGAGAATTGAATGCCGTGAATCTCAGCTCAGGAAGTTTACTAGGAACTTCCTAACAACGACAAGGCTTCATTTTCCGACCAAGTGGATAGATATGCTGAAGGAGACCAGATTCAAAAGGGCAAAAAAAGAAGGGAAAAGGACAAACAAAGGAAAAATGGAAAAAAAGGGATGCAGAATGCGACGACGCCAATGTGTAAATGGGTACGGCGACGAGGTGTATGGAGGCAACACAAAAGTGAATCCCCCTGTTAATATCATTGGAACTTGTGAATCCACCTGTTGATATCATAGGAACTGGTGAAGCCAACTATTAATATATGTACGACGACAGACGCGCGCAAATCAAGCACCTGGCCGTCTTTAGCATGGACGTACATTCCCGAAGAAGAAGAATAGTGATAAACAGACTGTCTTTCGCATGGACGTACATGCACCTAGCCTTCTTTCGCATGGACATACATGCACCTAGCCGTCTTTCGCATGGATGTACATGCACCTAGCCATGCACGCTTCGACAAAATTTTACATATACATCCGCATACACTGAGCTCAGAAGAAACACGCTACGAAGAAGAATCAAGAAGGAATGGCAACGAAGAAGAAGAAGAAGAAGAAGAAGAAGAAGAAGAAGAAGCCATGGCCATTAATTGCTTTTCGAGCACGAGCTCACATGAATGGAAAGTTTTAAAAACACGTGTTCCTCGCACTGAGATCGCGCATTCCACTCTCAAACTGCTGCTTGCAGCCGCCTCAAAAACCCCTCGCCCGGTACCCAGAGACGACTTTCTCAATACCCTACCTGCTCCCTGCTCGCCACCTCCTCTCCTTCCTCCGTCGTTGCAACTATCCCCCCCTTCTGTCTTCCGTATGTCAATGTCCGTATTCTATTCGAGTGTCATATTATGTCGAATAGCAAGGAAGGGCACTGTTCATTTCGACGTTGTGGAAGATGGAGAAGGCGCGCGGGAGGGTCTTCCCGTCGAACCGCGCGCTCGAGCGGCGGGCGGCGTGCGGCGTGTCCAAGCTGAAGACTGGGAACGGCGGATCGCAGGTCGCGTGTCACTGAGCTGTCGCGCGCGCTAAGCGCCAAAGCGGCAGAAAGGCGAAAGCGGGAAAAGCGGAAGTGAGAGTGGCGCACACGGTGGAATGGCGCCAAAGCATTTTTACTTTTTTTCTTTCCTTTCTCCGATCCTTTTGTTTTTCTATTGCCTTCTTTTGCCCTTCGATCAACCCCTCTTTCCATTTTCCTAAAACGTTTGTGGCCTAGATTCCGGCCAGATTCATTTCCCTTCTTTCGGCCTCCGATCACCACGTCTTTCATTTTCCATAAACGTTCTTGTCCTAGATTCCGTCCAGATTCATTCAAAAATTTGTCAAAAGCGATCTCGAAAAGGCAGAACCCTTCGAACAACCACAGAGATCCTCAAAAAGGCTTCTGCCCTGAACAGAAGAAGCGATGGTTCTCCAGTGGGCATGCGACAGTCCGTTTCGTCGGACTTTCACCGACTCCTCGGGCAGCTCAACGCCCGACTGAGCACAAGTCTGTACAGACAAGCTGACTCCCGCTCAACGCCGCAGGTCGGCGGCACCCACGACAGCTTCCAGCTAGAGAGCGCGGCGGGTGCTGGCATTTCGGAAGGGACAGGCATAACTGACAGCAGGCGGCCCTGATCAGAAATGCCGAAAGTGCGACAGCGGCTTGCGCCAATTGACGGTCAGTGGGTCACAGGTACACAACCCCCGTACACCTGAGGATTCCCTGGTAGTTGTAGCTGGTAGGTCTGCCGGGGGCTAGGTCCCACTTGCACGAATTAAGAGATACTGACCGTTGATGGTACACAAGCACCGTACACCTGAGGATTCCCTGGTAGTTGTAGCTGGTAGGTCTGCCGGGGGCTAGGTCCCACTTGCACGAATTAAGAGATACTGACCGTAGATAGCAAGGATCAACGGCCCCAAATCTCCTAATTTGCGCAAGTGGGACCTTGGGCCGGGTGGAATGCAAACATAGCTTCCGACAATGGCAGTTTGCGCCCTTAGCAGAAGTGCCCCTCTGAGATCAAGTGTAGTATCTGTTATCTGATCTGTGGTCCAGCGGGCCACAAAAAAAAAAGAAAAAAAAGAAGTGCCCCTCTGAGATGATGAGCCACTCCTCAGGGGGTACCGCGAAACGACGGGTTAGCGCTCTAGCGCTCTGCTCCGTTCCGGGATTGGCCGGCCGGTGGCCGAGATTTGCGCGCAAGGTTCGTTCCCCTGGTCCGCCGCGCCGCTGCTTCCTCGTCCACTTCGCCATCGCTGACGGAGCAGGAGGGCATGGTTTTACTCACGCGTCATGAGTACCGCTGGTTGGTTATGCCTATGCCTTGAAGTAGCCCCAACCATTTGATAGGTTGGTTAGAAGTATAAATCACCAACTTTGCAATTGTTTGGTTTTTCACCATCTGCTAGGAAGCATTACGTTTCTCTGGACATAGCGAAGGGAGGAAACGGAGCCACCATGGCAGAAGCTGTAGGGGAGGTAGAGATGAGAGGGAGACTATCACCTCCGCCCCCCAACTTTTGCGCTATGGAGGATAGAGTTAGACACTCCATTAGACAATGTTATGACGAAGGCGTGTTTTCGGTGGAACCTAACATGGGAGAAGTGGTTGAAGACGAGAGGGGGAGGAGATTCAAAGTGAACGAGTCGCTGGATGCCATTAAGGAGAAATGGTTTAAGGAGAGGACGGTCATCTTCATCTTCCAAGATGAAGCGAGGAATTTGACGAGAGGGGTAAAGGACGATTTGATCCGCTCCTTCGAGGATGGGTGGCTTGCCAGGAGGTTATTCAGTTCGGAGCTGAGGAGAGGGCGCATAAAATTTGAAGGTCCGAATGTCGTTTCCTACGTGGCGAAGGCCAGTGAAGCGGCCACCTGGCTCGTGCAGAAGCGCTCTTCCATGCTTAAGTTGGCCGGCAAGGAATATCCAGTGGCTTTCAAGCCCTGGATGACCAAACTAAACTGAAAGAACTCCGACTGCGAGATGCTGAGACGAACTTTTGGATCGTTGCTCTCAGGGTTCCGTTAGATGCCATGTACTACTTACCAAGTGCAGTGGAAGGCTTGATTGGGGGCCTAAAGCAGATGCACGCGCCAGAGGCTAATAGATCACGGCCAAAGCTTATGAATGTGAAGATTGACATGGAGCCTCAGGCCCGATTCAAGGTGGAGGATACATTGAACATCGAATCGCCGAAGGGAGAATGGTGGAAAGTGGAGGTGGCCACGCCATACTCAGATTGGTGTAGGAAGTGCCGCTGGTATTTTCACACTGAACAGAACTGTCCTCGACAAGGCTTCGATAGAAACCCGAGGAGGCAGGGGAACACCAATCAACCGCAGCCACGTGTTACCAACTCTTCTGATCCAAGGGGAGCAGCTCGCCCAGCGGAGGGGACGGTGAGATCAGATGCAAATCCACAAGCATCTCAGACTTCCCGCGGACCAGGCGTCATTGGCGATCGGGAGACAGTGCACCCAGTTCAGAGACGGGACACGTCAACACAGCGGGAAGGACAACCAAGCCACGCAGCACAGGCTTTCCGCGATCCAGGTGTCATTGGCGATCGGGAGGCAATGCTCCAATCTCAGAGACGGGACACGTCAGCACAGTGGGAAGGACAACCGATCCACACAGCACAGGCATCGGATTAGAACATTCTCGCCTAATACCCGCACATCCTGGCGAATCCCACGTTCTGCCCCGCTCCGGCTCATCTCCCCCACAACCACCAAGTCTCCCAATATCCTGCCCCTCCCCTTCCCAATCGCTCTCTAGTGCAAGGTTGGTCGAATCCTGAAGACTGGCCTGTGAATACAGCTACTGCTCCCCCCTCCGCTCAATGGCAGGTAACGCCAGGCCTTCACCATGTGCATCAGGATCATGGCTATTACCCCTCTTACCCCTCCCATCAATCCACGCTTGGACAATTTCCCCAGGATTCGAAGAATCTGTACGCCCCCCATCCGAACTATGGTCTAACCTCGCTACCGCCATATCACCCGCTTGGGTATGAGTATGGTCCTGCTCAGTTGAATGCATCGGGAGGAGGTGTTCTGCATCCTTCCTCAAACGCGATTTCCAGAGGGGAGCACGCATCCCAGGGGCATGGTCATTCGAGGCTGCGCCTAGATCAGGGTCAGGCTTTCACACAATGGGTGGCACAGGAGCGCAATAACTACCTTGGCAATGCGCAAGGCTACTATGGCCAGGGCGTCCACCCAAGTCAGGGCCGATCTCCTAGGGAAAGACAGTCCCCAGCCACGCCAGCGTCTTCGGAATCGAAGCTACTGATGGGGAGCGAACTGGTGGGAGATGAGCTTCCAACATCTCTGGGTAGAGCAGCGTAGGAGGAAGGCTCAGAATCGTCGACGGGCAGTTCAACAGGCATAATGAGAACCAAGAAGGCAGTTTCCAGGCAAGACAAGGGCACAAGGGGCGGGTCAATCAGGAGCGACCACAGAGATAGGCTGATTAGGATAATTGTACCAATGGTTTGTTCAATTACTAATGAAGGGGCTATCTTCCTCGGTCGTTCGCAAGTGGACGGTCATCCCTATATCCCCACTGCAGACACAAACAGATCACCAACCCCAAACGAAATCATCACACTCACAAAGGTGCTATATGGTGATTCCTTCCCAATTAGGATTGTCCCTAAATCTCTCATGATTAACATAGTGGTCCCGATGGAGGATAAGATTTTCAAGTTTTATTTTCCCATTCTTGATGCGAGGGTTGACCCGCAAACAGCAGTTGCGTTGGCAACCAATGGAGTTCGTGGTTCCAATTAGATGGAGTAAGAGAAAGAAACAGACAGGGGTTAGAGACCATTACAGTAGCGGAGGGCATCTCTACACTACTACTGCTGGAGCTCAATCAAAATTTGCCAGCGGAGTTCAACCTCCACTCCAATTTCCTGATCGACTCCCTATCAGCTCAATGGGCCTCAAGATCGCAGTCTGCACAATCTAGAGATTCCTCAAGGCACAGTTCGATGGCTCAATCCCCTCTGGAAGGGCGCAGGAGATGGGCGTCAGAGGTAGACATCGACTCTTTCCGCATCCATTCTGAAGCGGAAGCAGCCACCCACCATGGTTAAGTTCACTCTGGCTACCTGGAATGTCAGAGGCTTGGGTAAGTCCACAAGGCGAAGGAAGAAGACCATGATCAAATCATGGGTTTTTCGCAACCATGTAGAGATCCTGTGTCTTCAGGAAACAAAATTGAATGAGGACAAACTGAGGGCAGGGGCTGGATGGTGGGATGGGCCGCAGGTGTGGTCACCGGCCCAGGACACAAGGGGTGGTGTAGGGATCCTCCTTCACCGGTCTCTTCAGTCACTGGTAGTAGATTCGGAAGCAAATTTGTGGAGCCGCTGGGCCTGGTTCAAACTACAGTCGGACCACACAGATTGGGTGGTGATGACGGTATACGCACCTGCAGACCCCAGCTCTAGATCAGCCTTCTTCAAGACCCTGATGCCTGTCATTCCACAAACAGACCATCTAATCATGACATGCGACTGTAATGTATCGTTAGACGAAGCCTTGACGGATGGGTCTCGAACAGCGGGCAAGGGGGATGTGGTTACGCTGTTAGATCTGGTTCAGGAGTTAGATCTTTCAGACCCCTTCCGCTCGCTGAACTCTGCAGATTCAGGCTACACCTGGTTCTCCAATATCAGGAGGGAAAGGGGAGAGGTGACACGTAGGCGGCTTGACTACTTCTTAGTCACCAAGGAGCTAGCTCAGGGCATAACGGCGGTTAGACCTGGTCTGCACCCGATGTCAGATCACCGACCAGTCGTGGCCGAGATGGTGCTATCCCCGTCTGGATATAGGCGCAAGGGTTATTTTAAGTTGAATTCCTTGAATCTGAAGGACCCTGGAACCAAGCGATGAGTAGAGGAGCAAATGACGTCATGGGAAGATGCTCGCCACTTCTTTCCATCCACAACAGATTGGCTAGATGGAGGAATCGCGATCATCTCTGGTATGATGAGTGTTTGTTCGAAGATCTTGGCAAAGGGGAGGAATGTAAAAGAAGAGAGGTGTAGGAAGAGAGTGGAGGAGGCAGAACGGAGGATGGAAGCCCACCCGATCTCGGAACTGTTTTGGGCTGCAGAAAGGGAGCGGAGATTAGCAGAGTGGGAAAGTCTGCAGGCGGCAAAGCAGGCGGCTTGGGAAGAATTCCTCAGCATTAAAGGTATTACAATTCAAGACCGTCTCACAAAGGATACCTTTAGGAAACTTCTTCCAAGCAGCTCCTTCCACCAGGTAGTAGAGCTAAAGCACCCTTTCGATGCCTCTCTTCCGGAGGCCGAGTCGGCGAGCAGCATGCTTGAGTATGCCCGCATCTACTATGCAGATATCCTCAGCTCAAGGAGAGGAGACGCTGCACCAGACTCGGACCTGTCGCAACTGTCAAACCTGTGGGACGCCACAGACACCTTGCTGTCGAACGAAGAAAGACTATCACTGGACAGACCTATAACAGAGGAGGAACTACGCCACACCTTGAAAGAGATGGTTTCCGGGAAGTGCCCTGGGGTGGATGGATTGACTGTAGAATTCTACAAGTCTTGTTGGGGGGCCTTAGGCCCGACCCTTGTGGAAGTTTTCAATGAGGTTTTGACGGGGGGACGACTAGGGAAGCTCATGACGCACGGGGTCATCTCGCTCATGTTCAAAAAAGGGGACAAAGCTAACGTGCGAAATTACCGGCCTATCTCTGTTTTGAATGTGGACTATAAGATCCTAGCAAAGACCTTGGCAATCAGGCTAGGAAGGATCCTACCAAGACTTGTAGAAAGGGACCAGGGTGCCTTTGTCCAAGGCAAATCTATCTTCTACAATATCTTAACTGTGATTGAGACCCTCGAGGTGGTGAATGCGAAGAACAGTAATATAGTCATCCTGCTGTTAGACCTGGAGAAAGCATACGACCGGGTAGGCTGGCCGTTTGTTTTGACAACGCTCCGGAAACTGGGTTTTGGACAGGGTTTCTGCAGATGGATTATTGCTATGTATACTTTCGCCAATTCCTCGGTCATGGTAAATGGACACCTGTCTCGCCCGTTCAACCTGACCCGCTCTCTCAGACAGGGTTGCATTTGGCCCCACTGTTATTCATATTACAGCTGGAAATCCCCCTCAACAGGATCCGGAAGCACCCAGACATCAGGGGCATCAGGCTATCGGAAGATCGGGACTGCAAGGTGAAGGTTCTCGCTGACGACCTGTTCATAGTGTCGGAAAACACAGCCTCCTCCTTAAATGCACTAAAGTCGGTCCTCTCTGAATACTCCTTCCTTTCAGAGGCCTCAGTGAACTGGTCCAAGTCCACGTACTTTCTCCCGGAATCATTCACACTACAGGTAGAATGGGGAATGAAAAGAGTAGTAAGCATTGCGGGGGAGCGGTTTCTAGGTGTTATGATCAGCCTGCAAGTGATGGACTCGGTTCAAGGTCTCATCTTGCAACAACGAGTCGCTTCTCGACTCCAAGTTTGGGGTCCGACCGGCCATTTGTCTCTATTCGTCCGGGCCCTAGTGGTCAATGTGGCTCTTTGGGCCTTACTGTGGTTTGTAGGAACGGTGAGAGAGATAGCGGTATCTATATTGATAGCAATACGCAGACTGGTGGCCAGGTTCCTGTGGAAGCCTAGGGCGGGAGTTGATGGAGGTTTTTTGGCAAAGGTTGCGTGGGACCTGATTACCGTGGACAGAGAGGAAGGCGGACTCGGTCTGATTGACCCACGCAGGAAGAACATGGCTCAGCTGAGGAGATGGGTCTCCCGCATAGCAATGACGGAGGAGAGGGAAGACTGGATATTGTTGGCGGAATACATCTTGATGAGGGAATGGAAACTCTCGAGACCAACAGACGTGTGGATCTGCTTCTTCATGCGTTCCTTTATGAACAAGAGACTGAAGTCTGAACTCTGGGAGGCAGTGCGCAGAGCATGGAAAGATCATCCTCCGGACACCCGTCAGGAACCTCTAACGAAACAGGAAGTCCTCCTCCAACACCTCTTCGAGAACCCGTTTATTCTGGATGACCAAGGTCTCCCATTTTCTGCGGGTACAGACGCAGCAGCCTTTGGGCTGGCTTGGATACGTAGAGGGATTAGCTAGATCCAAGATCTATGGTCTGTAGTGCTGGGCTCCTGGCAGCAATTAGTGGAAGTCAAAACTCAGCTACAGAATCTGTGGAGAGTGGAACAAAACTGGACAAGACTATTAGCAGCGATCCCGCTCCACTGGCACCAGCTTCTGGGTCCGGAGGGAGTAGACCCAGTGGGCACGTGGTACCTTTCGCCTGCCCACACGTCGGTAGGGACAGTCTGGAAGGTCCAGGGTATCACCCAAAGTGGTTTCAGGATTGTCCAAATCTGGAAGGCGGAGGAGAGTCCATCAACAAACCTACAACTGGTAGGCGAGGAGGAAGTGGCAAGCTGGTCAAACCCCCTGCAGATCCGGGTGGTGGAGAGACCAGGTGCAGGAAAGGGGCAAACCACTTACCAGTGGGTAGGCAGGGTCCCTCTCAGGGCGCTGATGGTAGATCCGGTGGCATGGCGTTGGACAGAAAACAGGGAGAGAGCTATGGATTTAGTGTCCTACTCTGTGGGGGAATCTTACAGAGGAGCGGACAGGCGAACAAGATCACCTGCCTCAGTGGCAGGTTCTAGGTGGGGGGCGATCTTGTTGGAGGACCTGCAGGGTCAGGAGGCGAACTTCAGGAAGT